AGCCACTAGGATACCAAGTAGAAACAACAGCCAGATGCCTTCCTGGCCACTCCAAGCCTCCATAATGATGTCTAAGATCCATTTCAAATATCAGTTGCAGAAATGCAGATTAGGTTTGCTGCTAAAGATGTGTAAGACCAAGGGACAGTGGCAGGGCCTGGTGCTGCAGGCCTGAAATCCCAGCGACTCTGCAGGTTGAGGAGGGAGGATCACAACTTCAAGGTTGGCCTGCGCAACCCAGACCAACTATCTCAGAGTAAAAAGGTGTGTGGGTGTATTTCAGTGGTAGCGCCTTACCAGGGTGCAGAGCCCTACAGTTCAATGAAAACATTTGTTTTAAAGAGTAGGTGCCATCGCATGGTCATCTTAGTTCCTCACTGTGCTGGTGAAGGAGTGTTCACATGTACACCTGTTCCTTTCTGTTCTCTGTGAGCACCGAGAGAGGAGCCCCACAGCAGGGGAGTCGGCAGTGGGGCCAAGCAGAGGCATGCTCTCAGAACCCAACAGCTGGCTGCTCACCTCAGCCTGACCGGAAGGTGCAGAGAGCCGTTCCCTTCCCAAGAGCCCACTGACCTCGGCTGGGTCCTGCTACCCCTCTGGCAACCCCACGGCTGCTGTTCATTGTGGCTGCCATCGTCTGCGCTCCACGGGAAGGCAGATCCACGCCTGGGGTGGGGGCAGTGACCGCTATCGCCACTACAATGGAGAGTGGGCACCTGGGGAGGGTTTCGGGCCTTTCTAGCAGACCATACAGCTTTATCAGCCTTGGCTGCAGGGAAAATGAGTTTCGGGATAAAGGGGACCAAGAGGAAAAGGCCTAGAAATAAAGGCACTGAAATGCTCAGGTTAGGTTATAGGCAAAGCTTATATATATATATATATATATATATATATATATATATATATATATATATATATATATATATATATCACAACTTGATGTGTTATTCCTGTAAGCGAAGATTTATTAAAAACAAACAAAACTGTTGTCCTATGTAAGCTGGCTTGCTAGGAAAGAACACTTTTCATTTAATCTTGGTTATACTGTTGTCATAGCTAAGTAAGTCAACACCTGTTTACCCCCACAGGTGCACACTGAGATTTGGGGTGGGGCGGGGCTACATGTCTATGTGCTTTAAGAGAGGTCTCACTACATAGCCCAAGCTGGTCTTGAACTTACAATCCTCCTGCCTCAGCCTGCTGAGACCATAGGCAAGTGGCGCCATACCCAACTATGACGGACTTTAGGTTCAGTGACTGGAAAAGGTGGACTAGCATTGACTCCAACCACCCAGCGCCACCCAGCTCCTGCCCTGCTGGGCACACAACTGTGGGGACAGCTGCCACATGAAGTTCCTTGAGGTGGGATCCAAAAAGCAACACTAGAGACAGGCACCACAGGGCTACAGCTGGCGACACTGACAGGTACCTCCAGATGCACATCACCTCCAGCTGCAACCACCCGCTCGCTCTGGCTTTGGAAAGAACACAGGAGCAATGGCCCCTGACTTCCTTCCACACAGGCTCCGTGAGGGTGTGCTGATGCCCTGACCACCCCCTCCATGGCTCAGGTTGTCCACGTCTGCCATCAGGAGCTTTGCAGGGAATGGCAGGACTGAGCATAGCATGTCACCTTATCTGCAATCAGTTTGCCACAGTGCTGCTTTCTCTCAGATCTTTCTAGGTTTGACTCATCCGCTGTACACTCTTTCCTCCCTGTAGCCCAGCCCGGGGTGGAAAGGCACAGCTTTTTTTCTGGCCTCAGTTCCTTCTATCCAAATGAAAGCGTGATAGACTACCGTTTCCCTTCTCTGTGTGTATAAGGGATGGTCTGGGGGCCCCTGTATCAGAGCAAGCCCAAGCACACTCAAGAGGGGGAGCCCCGGGCTGCAAGGCAGATGGCCCGGCCAGCCCACCTGACAGATCCTTCCCACGTGGCAGACAGGGCGTGGAGCAAGACCAACACAAAGGCCAACCTCCTCAGGTCCCTTGCTTGTAAGAACACCCACCTTGGCTTGGGATGCACAGTTAAACACGAGGCTTTAAAAATCAACTGAAAACAGGCAAATGCCCCATGCCCGCCCCCCCCCCCCAGTCGCTTCCTCCCCCCAACCCGCCCTTCAGGTTTCTCTCTCTCTTCCACTCCTACCACTATTAACCTTCTTAATTACATTAAAAAGAATCTTCAGTGAGATCGTACACATAATTAGGGTTGACTGGTGTGTGTTTTTCATTTTCTATCTGCAACCAAGAATACAGGATGGGAACCAGGCCAGCTGTGGAATTCGGTAGGCCTCTCCAGGTCCCAAGCTTAACATGCGGACTTGGATGTCTAAAATCTTGACATTTCTACTTGGGCATCCTGTCTTGTTAACAGAGGCACTTGGCAGACAGAGGGGCAACTTGTTAAATTTGTTTATCTCCATCTAAGCAGCCTTTAGGTGCATCTGCACGAGCACCTGTGTGGATGAACCAATTAAATACAGAGCAGGGGGAGAGACATGCTCCCAGGGACAGCACGCACGAGGCCTCGGCATCGGAGCCACGGGCGACTCCTCTGGCTCCGTTCGTCTCCATTGCTAACAGACAAAACGTGGTGATTTGCCAAGGGCTGCATCGTCTAGAAAGGCTTCCGAAACTCCAGAGGGACAGCTTGTCTTCCAAGACAGGACCCAGGAACTCCACAGCCACTCTGCTAAAGAGTCTGGGTGTCACGGCTGCCGCTTACCAGCGGTGGTCTCTGGCAAGCAATTCCATCATCATCTGGAAGACAGTGAGAACTGGGGCGCCCTGGGGGACTGTGTGGAGGGCACACGCTCATATGTCCAAACCTCTCCCCAGAAGGCTGCAGATGGTGCTGTGTCCGCATTAAAGGAAAGGTGTGTGAAGTGCCAAGGTCAGGGCCAGCAGGCATCAGACGTCCTGACTACGCTGGACCGACACACACTCTAATCTACAAAGCAAAGCTCAAGCGTCCACGGTGTGAACACATTCTCTGAGGTTCCAACCATGGCTTCCTGTTCTTGCGGACTTATCTAAAAAAGCCAGGGAAGTCATTTTCCCCTCATGGAGTCCCGGGCTCTTGGCTTGGTTGGGGGGCAGCTGCCACAGTCCTCACACCCCCGTAATTAAACAGAAGCCACCAGTGGACAACACTACTCCTCTGAGATTCACCGGCGCTCTACCAATACAAATTACCTTCCGCCGCCTTTCAAGCAATTATCACTTTTAAAGGCTGCAGGGGGAGGGGTGTGAAAGGGACGGTAATGAGGATTCCCAGCGAAAAGGCTCTTCCTTTCTGACGCCTCTCCTCAGCAAGGGCCGGCAGCCCCCATTTGGACGGGGGAAGAGGAGGAAGAGGGGGCTCTGTTGGCTGAAGTTGTCCAGGGAGAAAATTAACATCCGCCAAACAATACTAATGCTAAGTTTGTGTGTGTGTGTGTGTGTGTTGTTGTTGTTGTTGTTACTGTCCTTGTTCCTAGTGCACCGACAGAAGCCGCCCAGCAGCCCCGTCCAACACCTGCACACTTTCACTTTCAGCCAGTGCTGCCTCTCCTGACTTTGCTCTCATCCCTCCTTGAAGCAGCGGATACTGCAGGCATTCGCTGTCTTCACGATGTAAGGGCCTCCGTGTGTCCCCAGGGGCACAACTGACTGAAAGACCGCTGACCAGCTGAGTGTCTTTGAGACGGAACTTTTGTTAGGGACATAGGCAACACAAACACTGTTTCTTCGTCCTCCTACAAACGCGTCTCAGCCTTTGGTGACAGCCTTTGGTGACGGTCACCCCTTCCCCAGCGAGGCTCCTGCGGTGACTGTGACTGGCTTTCATCAGAACCCTTGTCTACTTGCTTGACTCTGCTTCTTCAGCAGCAAATGGAGAGGATGGTGTCTAAGTCACCACAGTAGGTACTGACGCAACAAACCCCATGAGCCACGGTGAGTGGCTCACACCTTTAATCCTGGCACTTGGGTGCAAAGACTGTGAGTTCAAGGCCAGCCTAGTCATCATCGTGAGTGAGAGTTTCGGGTCAGCCACTGCTATACAGTGAGACCTGTTTCTAAATAAATAAGCGTAAATAAATCAATAAATGCAAAAATAATTACTCATAACATTCACAACCCTTGGTCAATGCTCAGTAATGATACGGCTATCTGGATTCGGCAGTTTTTATTGCCAACTTGATAAAAACTACAGTCCCCGGGAAAGAGTGACTCTCAATTGTGGAACTGACTCCATCAGAGCGGTTGTGGGCTTGTGTGTGAGGGTGTTTTCTTGATTAATGACTGATGTGGGAGGACCCAGCCCATCGTGGCTGGTGCCATCCCGGGGCAGGCAGTGAGTGGTTCTGGGTTGTATAAGAAAGCAGACTGAGCAAACCACAGAGAGCAAGCCAGCAAACCTGGTTCCTCCATGGTTTTTGCTTTGGTTTCTTCCTTGAGTTCCTGGCTCCCCTCAATCACGGACTCTACCAGTAAAGCGTAATAAGCCCATCCATTCCTCTCCACGCTGGTTTCGGTCAGTGTTTTGTCACAGCACCAGAGAAGCAAATGAGGACCATCTTTCGGATTATTGACAGCTTGGGTGGGTCCTATTGCCAGAGCGTCCTTGAGAGTTGTTTGGACTCTGGACAGCGATTTGTTTGATGATGCTTTGATGAATTTGAAAGGTGATTCACTTCATGAGAAAGATAGTAGTTCTTCATGGTGAAGGGCAGCCTAACAACTAGGTCAAATCAGAAACAGTAACCTCTTTGAAATACCTCAGATCTAAGGGATAATCAACTCCCCTCCCCCAGCCCCAAAGCTCCAACAGAACTAGAGAACCAAAAGCGACAGTGACCTATAAGAGCCAACAAGGAACTTCCTTCTGAGATGTGCCCAGGTGGATGAGATGTCCCACCTCTGCCTTCAATTCCTCTGCCCCCCCCCCCAACCCCCGACGAGTCTAAAGCTGTGTAACTTCCTAAGGGTTGCATTTATTATCTGGATTCCCACAGGTGGATATTTGAGAGCAGCCTTGCTGAGTGTTCAGAGACCCCGCCACAGACTGCTCAAATGGCTTCGTCAACAGGTACCAAGCAGGCTGGCTGCAGTCCTCACAGACCCGCTGGGAGGAGAGGGATGGGATGGGGAGAGCAAGAGGTGGCTGCAAAGGTTGGCTCTCCCACTTCCTCAGCTCCCGCACAGACTCAGGCCCAGCTGTTCTTTATTCTTGAATAATAAGACCTGAGACGGTGGGGAGATGGTCGGGAGGGAGGGACACAGGACAAGCGAGAAAGATGCCACCACACAAAGGAAAGTATAAAGTGGGCTTAGGCCTATGCCTCGCTAAGTCTTCAAAACCCGGAAATCTGCACGACCGTGTTTTGACAGAGACAGATGGGACCCACGTGGAGGCGGCGAGAGGTGTGGCTGTGAGCGTGTGTTGGGGAGAAAAGCCACACAGGTCCCAGTGTGACAGTCCCCTGCACAAAGAAAACGGATTGGTGTGAAGGTGAGGGAGTGAGGAGCCAAGTCGGGCAGCCATCCTGCCACAACCCCACAGCCTGCAGGCAGGCTCACCCCAAACATCCTGTTTTGCTACACATCACAAGCACCCCAGACCCAAGATGGCTTTCAGGGTTGTCAAAATACCAAACATCAAATAGGCTCTTGAGAACTTCCTGGTACTCTTTCAGAGCAAAGGATGGGTCAACCGACGTGGCTGTGACCTTGTTGGGGTCACAGGTCCTGGTAAGGGCAGGACAGGGCCCTGGTAAGGGCAAGAGGCTGGTCGTCAGGAGGCTCTCCACAACCCACACACAGTTCCTGAATGTCACCAGGCTCAGAACAATCAGGGTCAAAAAAAAAAAAAAAAAGAGAGAGAGAGAGAAAAAAAGATCCAAGTTGAAAGTCCATTTGTTCTATTTTCAGCAGTAAAAGGTTTAGCCCTGGACCCCAAACTCATTTTTTTTTTAAATCCCACTCAGAAACAAAGAACAAAAGGCAGTGTGTAGTAGTCAAAAGATATCTGAAGTTCTTTCTTTTCCTCAGTGAAAGGTAAAGAGAAAGCTCAGCAGCGGAGGATGCTGTGAGGACTGGGCTGGGACCCGAAGAATGTAGAGGACAGGGGGACCCAGGAACGAGACCCAGCTGACAGAACACAGGATAAGTAAAAAGGGGCCCAGGAGGCCTGGGCCAGCTGATAAACGTAGTTGAGCTTGGTGCCCGATTAATCTCCACCAGGGCTGCACATTAAACAAATAAACAAACAAAACCTGGCCTGAAACCGTCCTGCCGCCTGTTACTAGAGTCTTAGCTCATGGTGCCCTGTGGAGCTGTGGGGTGTCGGATGAGCCCGGGTCTGAGCCCCAGGCTCTGCCTCTCGCAGGCTGTGTGGCCCTGAGCTGTGATCACCTCACTGTGGCTCCGTTTCCGAAGTGAGGACGCGGCCGCCTCACCACACAGAGCTGTGCAGATGTCAACCTGAGCACAGAGCCCGCAGGCCTCACAGGGAAGGGAGGGGCTACATACCACAGCTCCAAGCCCACAAACCCCCAAGGTGCGAGCCTGTGTGCACAGGTGCCCTCAATCTGAGGCACCCCTGCACGACTCACAGTCCTGCATCCTCTTTTCTCTGAAGAAGTGAAAATTTCCATCGGAGACAATTTGGTTTCTTTCTTTCTTTCTTTTCTTTTTTTTCTTTTTTTTTTTTTTTTTTTTTT